GTATATCGCACACACCAGCCTCGACTTGAGTGGGAAATGAATCATCCGCGGTTGTGCGTGCACTTGTTTGCATGAGCAAATAGTACTGTAATGAAGTATTATTACTTCGTTACATTACACCACTGTGAAAGAGACTAATATTAGCGTAGAAATGCCATTCTTCTTGCGATGTAGCGAGTACATCAGGTCTTATGGGAAGTGTTCCCGGTTCCGGTTGACCTAATGTACATACTTCCTGGTTCTAGTAAGAACTCTAGCTGCTGCATTTTGGACCAGCTGAAGTTTGTTTATTAAGCACGCAGAGCAACCACACAATAAAGCATTACAATAATCTAACCTTTAGGTCATGAATGCATGAATGAACTTTTCTGCATTTGACATTGTGTGCATAGGTCGTAATTTAGATATATTAGAGTATATAAAGTAGATAGATATAAAGAGTGGTGATTGAGTGCATGTGACAACAATATCACAAATTCTCCACAAATGTGGCTTGTATGGGAGAGTAGCAAGAAAAAAAGACAGCCTTAACTTTGCTATGTATTATATTACTGTATAAGTACTGCACACTGACTAGTTAAAGCTGCACTAGTTAAAGCTGCTTGCAACATTAACAGCTCTATATTATCCAGCAGCGATTCCCATTACAACGTTAAAATATTAGGGCAAGTAAAAGATTAAATGGATAGTTCACCCAAAAATGAAAGTTCCAAACCTGTATGAATTTCTTTCTTCTGCTGAACTGAAATGATGATGTTATAAGATGGTCCCCATTGACTTCCATAGTATTTTTTCTATATCTTCCTTTATACACATATACAAATATATATATATATATATATATATATATGTATATATAAAGTAGAATTAGAATTCAAGCACAGAGCTGTCAAAACTGAAGTAGTTGCAATGTTTTCCACCAAGCATATTTTTACATGCTTAGGGCTGGAGTCTCAGGTGCATTTGACTGCTCTACAAAACACCTTCCTTCCCCCATCAGCACCTGTAACATACCTGCCGAATGGAAAACAAAGAGAGCCTCTGTTCTGCCCCCACGGCTTTGGATTCCACTGGGAATCATGTCCATTCTCAGCTCAGATTACATCTTGATTCTCTCCATATGCTAACCTGAGCCCTCCTGTTCCCCATTGTCATATTGCACTTACTTTGTGCCAGGAATACCTTGTCAGGTTTTTTTTTCTAACTGGTGCTGTATCAGGAGCAAAGCTGCTATGTATGTGTGTTTGTGTGTGTGTGTTTGATTATGGACATCCACAGTTTCATTGGCCCCATCCCCAAAGAGAGATACCTGAATAATAGATATGAGCAAGGGCAGAAAAACTGTCATCTACTCGCAGGGGAGGAACAACAGCACTTCATCCAGTTTATTGCATCTGTTTCCCTCTGCAGAAACGAGAAGCCAGCAGCACATGAATCCTGCAAGCAAAACCCACACAACCTCTGAGAAATGTAAATATACTGGACCTCCCATGAGTTAAAAATATAAATACTTAATAATATCCACTGACCGTGACCCACACACACACAAACTCTACATTTAGAAAATCCACAGATATCTTTATAGGTTCATCTTTCCATGACTCATCTCCTGAGAGTATGATTCGCGTCAGGGCATAAACACACTTGTCAACAAATTCTTACGCTGTTTTGACCTGCATATAACACAGCGGAAGGTTGATAGGTTTTAGAACTAAAAAAAAAAAAAAAAGCTTTTCTTGACTGCTTTGATGCATCACATTACGAAAAAAGGACTTTACATTGAATTTAGGTTGACGAAACTGTCTTGGGATGTTCTTGGTGAATTTAAAGGTCACATATGGAATTTCTGCATCTAGGCTGTAAAAAAAAATAAAACGATTTTTCAAAGTTGTAAATAACTTGACGATTTTTGGAGTATGTTTACCAAGAAAATACTATTTCAGTATTTCTACTTCAAAATTACACATTTAATTCAGTGTTACTTGCTGTTATTTGTAAATATTTGTGAAAATTGCTAATGATTTCTGAGTCAAAATTGTTTCAAAGTAATGTTTTTTCAGTGTTTACATGTAATTAACAAGAACTTACAATGAAAAAGACTTTTGAAGAATTCATACAACTTAATGTTAATTTCAACATTTACTAATGCAGTACGTTCTATCATTTATCTATCTATCTATCTATCTATCTATCTATCTATCTAAACTTTTTAAACATTTTTCAACACTTTCAAACAAGGCTTTATATAGCGACATTTAGTTTTTTTTCTTGACAAACCTTGCTTTTCGAGTGAAACATTTGTTATATGGATGTTGCTATATTTGCTATATGTTTCAAATCATTTTAATTCTGTTTTCTTACATAGAACGTGTTTTTTTCTTTTGCATTTTGCTATACATCAATTCAAATTCTTTTTTTTTTTGTCTTATTTCAGTCTGGACAACAACCAGTTTGATCATGATACATCCTACATTCTGTAAATTGTATGTTAATCATGGCTTTCCCTCAAAAACTGAAATTGCTTGAACTTTGAGCTTTGAGCGCTGTGTTTCACTCAATAGAGTTCAATGCTTTGAGGAATGATATAATATAATTTCAGAAGTAGTTCTGCAATGCAGTGCTAAAATAAGTATCAGTTCCTCATAGCGGCTTTGCATACGTAGGTTGAGGTACAGTAGCATCATTGCTTTTCTGAAACCCAAAAAGGGTTTGGCTTTGATCATCTTTGGATGGGAGAAGGACACATTGAGCCAGGACACTGCCAACTGAACGTCTGAATGGAATATTGATCTGAGTGACTCCTATTAAACCATTAGATAAGAGAGATGTGTTGAACTTGTGCTTTGCCGCCCAGCGTTTATAATGAAAGTAAAGATCACAATTTTTCAGATAATCTTTTTGGCAGGCCGCCTTTGGGTGCACAAATGGATATCTGCTGACGTTCTTGAAGTGGCGTGTGTGGTTTTGTCTATGATTTGATATGCAAGTTGTAAACGTTTTGAGTTGTATTTTAACTACATGCATAAGGTCGTTGCAAATGCAAATATTTCCCAGACTTGTGTGGCATTGTGAGGGTGGTAGAAGTGGATGTGCATGTATATTTAATGGCAAACATCCCTCTGGCCCAGCAGGACTGTAGATGCTAATGAGGACTGGCAAGTTGAGAACAGAAAGTGCCACTCGTCTCTTCCCTTGATACACACCAGACAGAGAGAGGGGAAGAGAGTTTAAAGAAAACATCTATCGATGCACACAACTCCCGCTACAGGGAGGATCCGGACATCTTTTGAGAATAAAATCTTTGACACATGAATGGCAAAGCTGTTTACCACCATGCAAGGAATAACAGTATCAATGTAGTCTTTAAAAGGGATAATTAATCTAAAAATGAAATTTCTGTATGGTATCTGTCATGATTTTAAACCATTTAACGTTCTTTTTTTTCATTGGAAAATATCTAAGGCAGCTCCTTTCCATACAAAGCATACAGTGATCAGGTGCTCCAAAAACACCATAATAAACACCACAAGGATTTGCATTCATATTCAGATGTGGCACATCAAAACACATCATGCCTGGTTTGATATCAGTGGCGCCAAAGCCATTGATTGTTTTACAGTGACTGGCCCTGATGTGCCAGTTCTGAATATGTGAAATTGCAAATTAGATTTGAGAGCTACAGGAGAAGGCAAGATTTTCAATGAATAACAACTTAAAATTCTGTGTGTTCAGTTGGAAAATTATGAAAGAAAATACAGTAACACTTTAGTTTGGGGACCAATTCTCACTATTAACTAGATGCTTATTTAGCATGCATATTAATAGCATACTGGCTGTTTATTAGTACTTACAGAAGCACATATTAATTCCTTTTTCTGCATGAGCTAAAGTAGAATCCTACCCAATACCCCAACTTAACAACTACCTTACTAACTATTAATAAGTGGCAAATTAGGAGTTTATTGAGGCAAAAGTTGTCATACATCATGAATGGGGCCTCACATTGTTCGGCTTATTGAGGTCAATACTGCTATGACTTTTATAAGCAATCGGGTTTACAATGTTCACCCGGCAGGCAGCCTCCCGGAACACCCCAGCAACTACTTAGGAACCTCCAAGAACACCTTAGCAACTGCCTAGTGCAAGAGTTTGTCACAGTAAGCACCACAATTTTATTCAGAAAATGTACATTAGAGTTATTATTATTATTGTATTGCAATTATATAATATTCAATTAAGTTTCAAATATAAGTACTATAAATAAGTCAGTTGAAGTGGACTGAGACACTAAAGTGGACCACAGAGATCTGAGTACACTGGGTTCTTCACTCAAGTTCACTTATGGGTCAGATGAATAAGGTTTGAGTTTGGTTCTTTAGAAGAGTTTTTTTTTTTGTCCTGAAGTGTGACCATCTTTAATGACAAACTTCTGTTCTTCATATTGGCTGTTTATTACTACTTATAAAGCACATATTAATGCCTTGTTCTGCATGACCGTATTTTAGATCCTTTAACCCGACCCAATACCTAAACTTAACAACCACCTTACTACTAATAAGCAGCAAATTAGGAGTTTGTTAAGGCAAAAGTTGTTTGTTAACACTAGTGAGAACTGGTCCCCAAGTGACCAAATTTGATTGGGCGCACAGCTCTGACATCAACTGTAAAAACTGTTTGCTATTGTATCTATGGGTTAGTTATAATTATTGTATTGAGCAGGGTTTCCTCTGCTTTCCCGAACAGACCTGTAACCTATTTTTGGCTTGTGATCCACTGGTTTAGAACCACTGCTGTAAAATATAGTGTGATCTTGACAGAATATTTTAGTGAATGCAGCAAGTGCATCCCATGTATCTGAAGAAACAAACACTGAGTTGTACTCTAGAGAGAGCACATCTGTTCAACCAAACCACTGATGCTGCGAGGAATTACCTAATCTGTCATAACAACTACAGCTCTGTCTCTGTTTACAGGAATGATGGTACAAAGTCTTGTGTAGAAAAATTTAGATCAGCAGAACTCACAAATTGCCTTAGCATTTGTTCTTTTTACTGCCATTAATTATAAATACTGAGAATATTTACTATACATGTTGATATAAAACAGTTGATTGAATCTAGATATGTTCCAACATATTGGCATGTCCCAAAAATGTACAGAGTTATTTCAAAATAATCTCAACCTACAAACCTGAGACACTAGAAAGAAATACAGCAAGAACGTTGCCAAAGCTTTGCTACATAGTAGCAAGTATGGCTTCAGTGTGTGCATTGGAGCCGGTGCAACCTTCAAGTCAAGACAAAACCAAGTATACCTTGCACAAAATAAATCTCAGTACAGCGTAGAACCTCATAAATACACAATGCAATATCTGCCAAATGTGTCTTATCAGTATGCACAAGTATAGTAGCTAGGAAAAATGTTTAACATTTATCATATGATGTCAAAGTCAGAGACATACAGGTGCTTGAGCTTGTCATCATTCGTCATTGCAGTCCACCCAGATCCACATATTCTTCAGTCTCAACGGTAACATCATAAGGTGCTACCAGGCATCATATTGGTTATGATCCAGTTCTGGCCAGTGCATTTTTGGAGCATCAGCTGATATCCAAACTCATTGTCATTGTTCTTCACGAGTTCAAGGCATCGCTTTGACTTTGTATTCTGGATGGAGCCTCCCTGAAGAAAGGAGAAAGAAAATAGATATATTTCATTACAGAGTCCCTCGACTGTGCCCAGGCATGTTCCTGTGTAGTTGGAGCTGTCAGGGTTTCATCCATCTTCCCACAAAATTCCCTTTCAGTGTGGATAACGTTTCACACTTCATGTTCAGAAAAATCTCATCCAGCATCACAGCCTGATCTGTGAGAGAAAATGTAGTTATTCATACATAACATATATACATACATTTTGAATGTTTGGATAGACACTGAAATATATAATTTAAAGGAATAGTTCACCCAAAAATGAAAATTAGCTGAAAATGTACACATCCTCATGCCATTCAAGATAGTAATGCTAAATTTCTCCAAATCTGTTCTGATGAACAAACAAACATCTATATCTTAGATGGCCTGAGGGTGAGTGTCAGGGTTCTGGACTGTCTGTGTGTGTTTTGCTCCCCGTGACCCAGTTCTCCTCGTGTTAATTGTGTTAATTTGATTTCACCTGTGTCTTCCCAATTATCCTGTGTATTTAGCCCCAGTCTGTGCAGTCTGTGTTTGTCGGTTCTGAACGTCGTTGTGCTACGTGTGACTCCTGGCTACCCTGTGTTTCCTTCTGTGGATATTTAAAGACTGTTCTGTGTGAAATCCTTAATTTCCTCGTTCCTCGTTCCTCGCTCCTCACAGTAGGCATCCGTGACAGAAGAACCGACCGACAAACAGTTTATTGCGTGTTTTCCTCTCTGTTTTGTTTCCGTGTTTTCCTCAGTGTCTTTTTTTTCCCATTGTGCTCCGTGTATGGATTCCTTCACTTCCTTCGCAGTACCCACACCAGGGCCAAACTCTCCAGCTACCCGGACGACGCGCTCTGTGCATTCTATGATGCTAGCCTAAACTCGGCATACAGAGCGCCGTCATCCGAGGAAGGCCCTCGAGTGAGTTTCGCCGCCTTTGTGGAGTGGACACTGGCGAGACACGGATCCCAGTTCACCGTCTGTCCCAAGGGGGATCTCCAGACCCAGAGTCCAGTCCACCATCTCCCCGCTGCGCGGAGCACATGCCCGAGCCCACCGCTGACGGAGAGCCGGAGCCCGCAGCGACCGACGAGCCATCGCCGCACGGAGCGACAGAGCTGAGGATCGCCGCGGAGCCAGAGCTACTGATGACGTCAGTCAAGGTGTGTGAGCCGGCAACAACGCCCGTCACGAGGGAGAAAGCCGCGGACGATATGAGCACGGAGAGGAGCTCCGCCCCCTGCATCGCGGCTGAGGGTGAGCTGTATATGGCACGGCGACTGTGCCACACCAAAGAGGAGAGGGCTCCCGTTCCTAAGTTCTGGCCTGAAAGCCCGGAGGCTCACAAATGGCCGCCCTCCCACCCGCTTCTGCCTCCTCCTCCACTGTCGTCTGGCAGTTCCTTTGCTCGGAGGAGGAGGACTCTGTGTTTTTGTTAATGATTCCTGGTGCGTTAACTCAACAACGATTGATAAGTTTTGCTCTCCGGATTTGGAATACTTAATGCTAAAATGCCGACCATTTTACTTGCCATGGGAATATACTGTTGTGATTGTTATGGCCGTATATATACCACCTCAGGCTAATGTTAAGATGGCATTGGAGCAATTGTATGATGTTATCAGTGGACAACAGAACAAGCACCCTGATGGAGTTTTTATTATCACTGGGGATTTTAACCGAGCACATCTTAAGACTGTATTTCCCAGATTTGATCAACATGTTAAGTGTAAAACTAGAGGGCAAAATACCTTGGACCATGTTTATACAAATATGAAAGATGCCTATAAAGCTATACCACGTCCCCATCTTGGGCAATCAGATCATCTCTCCTTGTTTCTCGTCCCTGCATATAAAGCCTTGGTTAACAGTGCCAGACCAACTTGTAAGACTGTTAAAGTCTTCAACTCCATCAACCAACTCCAGGACTGATTTGAATACACAGATTGGAATGTATTCTCCCATCAGTCAGATCTAGAGACATTTACTTCATCTGTATTGTCATATATCAGTTATTGTGTGGATACGTCACTGTTGACAAAAAGATTAGAGTGTTTCCAAATGAGAAACCATGAATGGACAATGAAGTTAAACAGCTGATCAGGGCGAGGGACACAGCTTTTAAATAAGGAGATACCTCTGCTTACAGAGTTGCCAGAGCTAGCCTTAAGAGGGGCATCAGGTCTGCGAAATTAAAGTATAAACGACGGATTGATGAAGACTTTAGCAATAACTCCAATCCTCAGAGAATGTGGCAAGGCATCCGATTAATCTCGGATTATAAAAAGAAGAATGGCATACAACATATTACATCCAATTATAATGCTTACCTTGCAGAGGAACTTAACAGCTTCTTTGCACGGTTTGAAAAAGACAATAATCAATCCCCAGTTCATTTTAAATCGACGGGAAATTCACAGCCCCTTGTTTTACATACACATGAGGTATGGAGGGCACTTAATGACATCAACATAAGGAAAGCAGCTGGCCCTGATGGTTTGCAGGAACGTGTGCTACAGGCCTGCGCCGACCAATTGGCAGAGGTGTTTACAAATATTTTTAACCTCTCCCTCTCCTCGTGTATAGTTCCCACGTGCCTGAAATCCACGACCATCGTGCCTGTCCCCAAAAAAACCATGATAACATGTCTTAATGACTATCGACCGATTGCTCTCACTCCTGTCATTGCTAAATGTTTTGAACGACTAGTAATCACTCATATCAAAGACTCTATACCAGTTGATCTAGATCAATATCAGTTTGCCTATCGGGCAAATAGATCAACTGAGGATGCCATCTGTGTAGCTATGCATGCTGCTCTTTCACATTTGGAAAAGCCCAACACATATATCAGGATGCTCTTCGTTGATTACAGCTTGCCATTTAACACCATTGTACCAAGCCAGCTGACTACCAAACATCATGCTCTAGGATTAACATCTTCCACATGCAACTGGTTATTGGACTTTCTTGCGGTTGGCCCTCAGTCAGTGCGGTTGGATAAGTATACATCCTCTACCCTAACTTTGAGCACTGGTGTACCACAAGGGTGTGTACTAAGTCCCCTCCTTTATGCACTTTTTACCCATGACTACCAAGCTACCCACGATTCTAATATTCTGGTGAAATTTGCAGATGACACAACTGTCATTGGGCTCATAACAAACAACAATGAAGTTGCATATAGAGAGGAGATTCAGAACCTGACAGCGTGGTGTGATACAAACAACCTGGTCTTAAACATCAGAAAGACCAAAGAAATTATTGTGGACTTTAGGACCACTAAAAAGATCACCCACAGCCCTGTAATGATCAAGGATGAGGTCGTGGAGAGGGTACACAGCTACAAGTTCCTGGGAGTTACCATCACAGAGGATTTTTTCCTGGAGGGATAACATTGCATGTATAGTAAGCAAAGTATAACAACGCCTCTACTTTCTGAGGAAGTTAAGGAGAGCAAATCTTCCTCAGAAGCTGATGGTCAACTTTTATAGATGCACTATAGAGAGCATATTGACCAATTGTATGACAGCCTGGTATGGTAGCTGTACCAAAGCTGCCCAAAAAGCCCTGCAGCAGGCTATAAAAACAGCACAGGACATTGTTGGTACGAACCTACCATCACTTGATCACCTTTATAAAACCCGCTGTCTGAGAAGGGCGAATAATATCATTAAGAACATCACTAACCCTAACCATCGTTTGTTTCAGCTCCTCCCATCTGGAAGGCGATTCCAATCCATCCGGGTACGCACAAACAGACTTAAAAACTGTTTTTTTTCCAACAGCAATAATTTTGATGAACTCTGGTATCTCTCTGCCTGATCATGTAAAATAACCTATGACGGCAATGTGTGATTTACTGCTCAATAAGAAGTTCAATAATCTTGCTATTATAACAATGTTGGCCACTTTGTATAAACACTGTATCTGGCATTTTGCCATACTCAGTGTAATTTTAAATGTTTTATGATAATTTCATCATCTTCTTTTATAATTATTATTGTATCGCTATGATAACTATCCAGTTATTTATAATTAACTATTTTATCTTCTATTTGATAACTACTATGTTTTTTTGCATATGTATTGTTAACCATTTGTATTTTTATTTTAAATGCACCTTGGGGTTGCTACAAGAGAAATTTCGTTGTGTTACACAATGACAATAAAGTACTTGACTTGACTTGGCTACCCTGTGTTTCCTCCTGTGGATAATTAAAGACTGTTCTGTGTGAAATCCCTCGTTTCCTCGTTCCTCGCTCCTCACAGTAGGTAACCGTGACAGTGAGTAAATGTTCAGCAGATTATCATTTTTGGATAAACTATTCCTTTAAAAGGTAAAAGTATTTACAGATCTTTAGAAATATTTACAATCTTTGGTCACAAGACATGCCAAAGCCAATGCATTTGTCTTTGACCTCAAACCTGTGGTGTAACAACTGAAGTGGCAAATTTTGAATGTTTAAATGGATGCAACACTTGATTTGAATTTTGATTTGAATAAATGTGATCACACTGAACATATTTGTTATTGAATAAATCAATAAAATCAGTCTATAAATTCCACCAATTCAATATTCTATGAACTAGAAAGGATTTATAACATTTTCACATCTCTAAAGTTGTAAATTAGTAATATGCTTTTTAGATGCTGTTGACACTGTACCTGAATTATGTACATTTCAGTATCCATGTCATCATACTAAAATGCATGTGTGCTACTACTTTACATACAAATACCTATGATTATATTTACAAAATTAAATGCCTATAATAATAATTATTATTATTTTGGGATGAAATGCCACACAATCATAGTCTTGAAAGATTTTGTGAGGCCCATATAGAGAATACCATGTAGAGGTGGAAAGTTTGGGTCAAAACATTCAACACTTTAAAGACATCAGGCACATCAAATTCATCTTCATCTTCTCTTCTGAAAGGGGCTTGATAGAGTCACAGCTGGTGTATCTGCGAGGGAACAGCAGCACTGCAGGCT